CATAGCTTAAAACTATTCACACCAAGATATACAAATACGCATAGCTTAAAACTATTCACACCAAGATATACAAATACGCATAGCTTAAAACTATTCACACCAAGATATTCAAATATGCATAGCTTAAAACTATTCACACCAAGATACACAAATACGCATAGCTTAAAACTATTCACACCAAGATATTCAAATATGCATAGCTTAAAACTATTCACACCAAGATATACAAATACGCATAGCTTAAAACTATTGACTCTCAGCACTCGAGAAGGCAGAGGCAGGCAGGTCTCTGTGAGTTTGAGACCAGCCTGGTCTACAAATTGAGTCCAGGACAGTCAAGGCTACACATAGAAACTCTATTTTAAAAAACAAACAAACAAACAAACAAAAACATTGAAAGTAAACATTATAAAACACCAGCATACCCACAGGTCTTTAGAAAGGTTTTTGATGGCTAAGGAAAAGTTGGCATATGAGGACTTTTAACCCCCTGGAAGTTAGAAAGCTGGACTATGTCTCCATACACAGCTGTACTGTGACACTTGTGGATAGTTAACATGATGGACTGTGTGCCCACAAACTGTAAGCCAAAATAAACCCTTTGTTCCTTAAGTTGCTTTCATCATGGATTTTGTCATAGCCACAAGGAAAGTAACTAACATAGGATGAAAAGCCAGAGAAAACTCAACACCCTCTTTGGCCTCCCTAGCCCTGAGATCAAAGGTGTGAGCCACCACCCTGTTGTTTTTGAGTCAGCATTGCTCACTGAACCTGGATCTTGCTGATTCAGCTAGATGAGCCAAGCGAGGGGCCTCAGGGATCCTCTTGTTCCTGCCCCTCAGTGCTAGAGTTTGGGGCATGCACAATTGTACACGGCTCTATTACATGGCTTTGTTGCAGAGAGTTCTGAAAGTTCCTTTAGGAGATACTATACAGTTTCTTCCCATCTTAAGGATACACAGCAGCTTTTGCCAACTGAAAGGCATGTGTTTTCAGCATATGTAGGGGCTGGCCTCTCTGTGTCATGGGTTTTGTTCCTTAAAGATATAGCCATGTGGTTTCCGGAAGAAGAGAGAACGGTGTATTCAGATGAACAGGGAGAAAAGATGGTGAGTTACAGAATTCCTGCCAGTCAAGGGCTGGGATGATGGAAGCAGAAGTCTGTGCAGGGTGCTCCCACCCCCAATGTCAAACTCATCTATTCAAACACTAACCCTTCCCCACCCCAGCGTATGCCATGGTGTATCCATAGAAGTCAAGAGGGCAATTTGCAGGAAGGGCTTCTCTCTTTCCACTCTGGGCCATGAGGAGCAAGCTCGGGTTATCATGCTTTCCAGCAAATTCTTTGACCTGTGAGTTATCTCTCGGCCTCTGACAGTTATTCTTATTTCTCTTCTTTCCCTCTACACAGTTTTAAGAAATGTGAATGGGAACTTCAGAGCTGTACAGATAGTCCGAGGAAGTTATGCCAGAGGTTACAAAAATAAAAATAAAAATAAAAAAGGCCATAGATGAGAGTGCTTCAGCTAGCCATTGGAGCAGGAGTATTAAGGGCAATGGTGTAAAGTTAGGCACAGGGGCAAGGGGACGAACATTTACTATTACAGCCCACATTTACACGGAAAAATGTATCACTATAGGGCTGGTGAACTCTTTCACCTGAGCAAAGAAAGATAGCCTACCAGAAAACAGTTAATAATGTGACCAACAGGAAGCCCTGCCAGTGGCAATGGATTAAACACTCTTCATTTGAAAAAAGAAATGGGGCTGTGAGAGGGCCTGCGGTAAATCAGTCACTGTGCTGGCGTGAGGACTGGGGACTGGATCTCCAGCACCTATGAAAAGCCAAGGGTGGTGGTATGAGCCTGTAACCCCAACATCGGTGGGGAGGGCAGAGACAGGGGCATCCCTGGGCTTCTGGACTGCAGCCCAGCTCCAGGTTTAATGAGAAAGCCTGTTTCTAGAAAGGCAGAAGGTGGCTGAAGAAGATACACACCAACACACCCACACGAACACGAACATGTAGGCACGTGTGTGCATGAATGGACGCACAGGCACACAAATGGGAAAGGGCTATGGGTGCTGCTCAGTGGTAGGACATACCAGGGCCGTGGTTCAATCCCCAACACTGAGGAGGAAAAAAAAGAATAACGCTTTATGTAATTTTTTTTTCCCTCAAGACAAATTCAAAGAAGAAAACAAAAACCTATTTCTGCAGAGATAAATGTTTACCTTCCAGGACTAGAGAAAATTCAATACTAAATTGGCCAGGTGCCATTTGGGAATCCTTGTGTGGCTGAAGGTTTTGATAAACAGTATTTGGGGAGTTGGGGATCGGGAGGCAAATGCCACCCATGATGAGTAGGAATTCACCAGAGAGACTCTCTGCTTCTTGGTAATAAGATCGGCAGCTGTCATCCGGGCTTAGGGACGGAATGAGATGGGTTCAGACAGCACAGACCAACCAGGGAGGACGTTAGCACGGAATTCTCCCCAGACTCCTTGTGCTGTCTCCACAGGGTCACAGAATACACCGTTGGTGTCCCCTGTCTCAAAGCCCTGTTCAGGGACAGGGACTAACCCGGCAGACCCGCCACACTTACTTCCAAAATCGATGCAAGAAGCTCTGGGCCACACAGACACAGGTTTGGGAGGTGTGTGTGACCATTTGCCCAGGCCTGGGGGGAAGTTCAAGGGTCCACAGCGGATTAGCTCACTCCTGCACGCTCACAGAGTCTGTAGGGCTGCAGGCTGAGAGTAATCAAAGATCCTGCTCTCTCCAGCTGTAGTACATGAAAAGCTGGTCTGAGCTCCAGAGTGTTCGGGCACGTTAACTTGCATTGCAGGTCTGAGGTGTAGCCTGAGAACTGTGTGCATGTTCTTGTCTCTGTCTACATGACTATGTGGGCACATAATGATGAAAAAAAAAAATCTTTAAAACCAACAAACTATTTGTTTCTGCAACGTTTCCCTGTGGATGTATACGAGGTATTTGTACGTATGAGGTAAGAGGTGGGCGACAACTGGAGTGCCCAACCAGAACTTTATTATTGTTGCCATCATGAGCCCCACCCCCACTCACACCCCCAATGCCACTCTGATTACTGACACCAGTCTTCCCACAGCTGCTGAGTCAAGGGACCTGCTGCTCTCTGATAACGTGTGGGCTGTAGCTGCCGGGGATGGGTGAACAGCACATACGGTGTGTTCCAGTCAGAAAACAGAGCAAGGGTGCCTGTCTCCAAGCCAGGACCCCTCAGAGTCCCAGCCACCCAGGAGCCTGTGAAAATGGGAGTTTCCTGGCTTGTCTTGACACTGGAGTAACACAACCCATCAGTCTCGGCGGGGTTTTGCCAGAAGCCCGGAGGAGTCTTACACCAACACAGAAAGTCGCAGATGCACACGTAATGAAAAGCTACCATTCCCAACAACTGAAAATGCTCAGGTCAGTAACACCAAATGCATTCACAGTGTCCTAGGAATGGTCCATCGCCCCAGTCATAGGCCCGGAAGCCTCGGAAGCAATGGTTCTCAACCCGTGGGCTGTGTCCCCTTTGGTGGATCAAACATCCTTTTCAAAGGGGTCACATGAGACCATTGGAAATATCACTGCTCTAAACACTTGCTTTCATCTGCCCCCTGCCCTAGCCCCTGCTGACCACTGATATCATTTTCTGCCTCTATGAATTTGCTTATTCATTAGACTCACACAATACGTGGCCTCTTGTGTCTGCTAGCCTTAAAAGTACTTTAAAAAAAAACCAATATATTAGTTTTATATACGTTAATGTTTTACCTGCATGTCTGTCTGTATGCGGGCATCAGATCCCCTGACAGAGGAGTTACAGACGGTTGTGAGCTGCCATGTGGGTGCTGGGAATTGAACCCGTGTCCTCCGGAAGAGCAGCAAGTGCTCTTAACAGCTCAGACGTATCTTCGGCCTCTAAGAAATTCTTTTAAAACATTTTACTCACCATTACCGTAGAAAGTGAGAGATGTGTGTGTGCCATGGCACATGTGTGGAGGTCAGAGGGCAATGCTGTGCAGTTGGTTTTGCCCTTCTACCTTTATGTGAGTTCTGATTGAATTCCAGTCATTGGGCTGGTACAGCAAGTGCCTTTACTTGCTCAGCCATCTTGCTGCCCTTTGGTCATTAAAAAACAAAAACAAAACAAAAAAAAAGATGTTTTTCTTAAAATTGTTTGTGTGTGCTTGTGTGTATGTGTGTGCCTGTCTGTCTGTGCTCTAATCTATGCTAGTTTTATTCTCTTTCTGTGATAAATAACTCTGACCAAAAGCAGCTTAGAAGAAAAAAGAAAAGAGTTCATTTGACTTAACATTTCTAGTTCATAGACCATCATAGAGGAAGGTCAGCAGGAAAAGGCAGGTCCACTTGCAATCCCATGCAGCATCACCTCTGACCAGGGAACTCAAGCACAGCCAAGGAAGTACAGCAGGAGTCACCAGGAATGCTCCTTGCTGGAACTCTGACAGGCTCACGCTTATCTAGCTTCCTAAGATAGCCCAGGACAACCTACCTAGGGAATGGTGCCACCCACAGTGGGCTGCTCTCTCCTGTACCAATAAAAAATAAAAAAAAAAATGTTCCTTCCCACACCATGCCCACCACCAATCTGACTTGAATAATCCCTTAATTAAGATTCCCTTCTCAGGTGACTCTAGGCCAAGTCAAGTTGACAAGTAAAGCCAAGTAGGACACCAGCAATGAACTATGGATACATAGTTGTTTATTTCTCCTGGCCAGTTCTCTGTAC